TCATTCATTAAATCAATAAATATAGGAAACAATATAAAAGTTTACCATTACTAGTACACCACCACCTCCCACCCATAAATTATTATATCTATTCATTCATCCATCAGCTTCTCCTAAATCCCTCCCCTTTCGCCGTCACAGATCTGTTCTATCCGTCAATGCCGAGTTTTGTGCCGTTATTATAATCATTTTTTGGTTTTCTGTGTTTCTATTTTCAGGAAAAATATGGCTCTTGAATATCAAGAGGTCGCTACACTCTCTCATCTTCCTTTGCATGTTTTATGTTTTATATATGAGATATATAATTAAATTCTTATATATATATATATATATATATATATATATATATATATATATATATATATATATATATATATTCAATATTAATTAATTACATTTATTATTACGTACAGGAATATGTAAGAAATTCGAGAGGAGTCCAGCTCTTCACTTGCAGATGGCTGCCCTTCTCTTCTCCAAAGGCCCTTGTTTTCCTTTGCCATGGTTTGCCTTTCTTCTTTCTAGCTTCTCTACTGTTATTTTATCTTAATTCTCTCTTTTTTGTTTTTTTTAATAATATAATAATTATATGGAGTATTTATGCTGCTGATTAAAAAGAGGGTTTGATCAGGGTATGGCATGGAATGCAGTGGCTTCATGAAAGGTAATAAAATGTTTGATCCCTCCATTCTTCTACTTCTATTCCGTTACTTTATTTCATCCCTTCTTTGTTTCTCTAGAAAAACAGTCAAATTGGTGGTAATATATTTACTCCTACTCTTTCCGTCCAGAAAAGGTTCATTAAATTGACTTTTTGTGGTCAATTATACGCAAGTTTTATCGATGATATTTTTTAATACGAAATAAATTTTGAATATGAAAATTATATCAAAATATTCCTTATTAAAAATATTTTAATACAAGTATAAAATTTATGAATTGCATACAAATATAATGATTAAAATCATTGTTCAATGTTTGTTATCATTAGTCAAGAAAAATCAATATTTAGAAAGAGTAAATTGTTTGTACTAAATAAGTCTTGGAGTTCCATTTGATTCGTATTTTTATACACAATCTGCACCCATAATTTAATTTAGGATAACCCGTTAATGCTTAAGATTTTGTTTGGACCATTTAATAGAAGACCTTCCCAATTTGCGTATAACTGCCCTTTTATTTGAGTGGGGTGGAGTATATGTCACACTCATCAATTATTAAAATAATATAATACGGAGTGTATGAGATTATGTATTACTTCTTTAGATTATATATAGCCCCACTTAAGAATGAAAACTCGGATTTTAATAATTGATTTTGCGCGCGTCTTACTAGGTGGTTTTGCTTATCCAAAATAAACCAATTTAGGCCTTCAGAATGCTTAATAGGGAATCATATTCATCTCAAATCTATGAGTACATAAGTTAATTAGGGTAGGATGATGCATTGGTAATTAAATTTTAGATAATTTTATAATTTCATGAACCATTTCCTAACCCCCTCCTTACTCCTATCATTGTCCAAATGTAATTATCATTATTCTCTTTTGGCAATTTAACATATGCTGTAAGACATATTAGTAATTAGTTAATTAGTGAGGAAATTCATCATCTACTACATCAGTTTTTTTGACTAATTTAAAATTCAAATGAGTGCTTTAGAATACAGCTAACAAGGAATAAGCATTTGGTCAACGGACCTCCTTACTTTCTTCTACTACGTATTAAATACTTCAATTCGTACATCTCAACCTTAAAACTTAAGCAATAAATTTAGGAATCACGCCTCTTATACAATATATATAATGGTCCATTGATGATATATATGAATAATAAATTGTGTAATCCAATAGAGATTTGTTGGTCGTTAATAAGTAGTGTGGATCGACAAGAACTTAAGGGACAATTTAGGCCCTGATTCACCCAAATTTAAAAAATGTTTTAATTTAAGATTAAAAAAATTGTGTGATCTTTTCTCAAAAATATACTTTTTAACGGTTTCGTGCCCTGACTCTGATTTTATATGCTCCATACTTGTCATTATAATAATATATAATAAATAACTAGGTGTTGGAACCAAGCTTGCAAGCTATGGTTATGCCGTGTTTGGAATTGATTATGAAGGACATGGACGGTCAATGGGTTCACGCTGTTACATCAAAAGGTTTGACAACATTGTCAACGATTGTTGTCTCTTCTTCAAATCAGTTTGTGGTAAGCCTCATTTTTTTCCAAATGACAACTATTCTAGTTCTATTTCTTCAATTAAATGCTCTCATTTAAGATATGTCTAGTTTTCACCATTTGCTTCATCTCCTTTTCTAAAGCATGTTGTTTTGGATACCAGACCTAGAGGAGTACAAAGAAAAGAGAAGGTTCTTGTATGGGGAATCAATGGGAGGGGCAGTGACCCTACTACTGCACAAAATGGACCCTTCTTTCTGGCATGGTGCAATTCTTGTTGCCCCTATGTGTAAGGTAGAATGAGTTGAGAATCATATGCAATCACATATGCTACTACCATTGATATGAATCATATACAACTGTCAACCATATAACTCTCATTTTCTTATTCCTCGTGTGTCGTGTCAATTAAACTTGGTAAACTGTTAAGAAATGGATGAAGTATTGAATATTGTTCCAAATCGGCTAAATGTGAGGTTTGCGTTTGCCCCTTGATAACTAATTAACACGCATATTTGTATAATATTTTCAGATATCCGAGAAGGTGAAGCCACATCCTCTGGTCATAAGCATGCTAACTAAAGTTGAAGATGTCATACCGAAGTGGAAAATCGTTCCAACTAAAGACATCATAGACTCCGCGTTCAAGGATCCCGTGAAACGCGAAGAGGTGAGTTTGACACATATAAGCAACCCATCTATATTTTGAAATACCCAATTCCCTTTTGAAAAATAAAAATCATGTTAACACAATGCAAACACAGATAAGGGGGAACAAGCTCATATACCAAGAGAAGCCCCGACTGAAAACAGCTTTGGAAGTGCTTAGAACTAGCCTGAACCTCGAGGAAAGGTTAAATGAGGTAAACATAGTTGTTTATAACGCTCATATTTTCAGGTTTCAACTGTGTGCTAAATATGAAATAATTAACTCATTTATTTGTATTGGACTGTCCTCAATTCTTGAGGGTTTTTATTGGCATTGAGTCATGCATATCATCATTCGTAACAGAGTTGCAATTTGCAACCAAGTGGATATCCTATATGAGAAAAGTTGTGCAAACTAAACAGAGTTGTATGAGCATAAGGTTAGGGGTGACAAGATTGAAACAAATTCGACATGATATGCTTTAATAGATACATGAAGCTGCTCATAAAAGACTATAGATTAATATAATACTACCTCCGTCCCATTTATATTGGGACGGAAGAGGGTGTCACGGTTATTAAGAAAAGTGGGTTTGTGTGGTTGATATTAATTGATAAAGTAAGAATGATTTAGAGTCACACAAACTTTGTCAAATATGGTATGGGACAATTTAAGTGGGACTTCCCGAAACGGTAAAACAGGACAATATAAATGGGACGGAGGGAATACTAAAAAAGATGCATGAAGCTGCTCTACCTTGTCGAAGTGTGTGTCGCGCTATTGTCACTTGATGAAGTTAAGTTGTGCACAAAAGTAATGTGAATCACTAAAGCCTTGAATCAATGCCATAACCCCCTACCCCGTTACAACGATTTGTGAGAGGTCATGAAAACCTTTTAGGGAAAAAAACGTACTGATCAGACAAAGGTGACTTAGTATTGGGTTTAGACTGTTGAGTTAGGTGCAACCTTATTCTTGACTTATTGCAGAAAAAGTAGAGCTAAAAGGATGAGATCTTGTGTTGACAGGTTACATTTCCTTTCTTTGTGCTACACGGGGAAGCTGATAAGGTAACAGATCCAGAAGTGAGCAAGGCATTATATGAAGAAGCCAGTAGTAAAGACAAGACAATCAAATTGTATCCAGAGATGTGGCATGGCCTCACGTCCGGCGAGCCTGATCACAACATTGAAATTGTGTTTTCAGACATCATTTCTTGGCTCGACAAGCGGTCTAGAAATGGAAATGTTGATACGCTTATCACTTCCATAGAGTTTTCACCAGTTCCTACTCCGGGGAAAACACCAACACGAAGAGCAAAGCCATCATCAAATAGGAATTATTTTTGTGGGTGGAAGGGTCGTAGTGTACAGTATCGTTCTGCAATGTGAACATATTAGTGGTGCTAAATCACATATTTTGCTGTATTACTAGTGTCTCGTGTTCAATAGACTTTCCTTTTTTATTAATGGAAAAACACTACCTCCATCTAAAAAACAATGTGTGATATTTATCACTATAATGATTAATGGATGCATATTTTTTAATTTCATGTTATAAATAAAATCGGAGAATTAATTATTAATTTAAGCATATGTCCTAAATTAAGGACGAAAAGTTTTTTAGGTTAAAGTTATATATCGGGTTCCACTTGTTGATTTTAAATGGTGTATAATGGGTACAATCATACTCATAGTACTCCCTCCGTCCCTAAATAAACTTCTAACTTTCCTTTTTCGTCTGTCCCAATTAAAACTTACACTTTCCCTTTTTGGCAAAGAATTTGTGGTTCACAACAATTCTTACACATTTCTCTCTCCTCTGCACAATTCTCCACCACACAATACTCACTATTTTAAATTGTGTGCCAAACCTATTTGGAAGTTTTATTAGGGACGGAGGGAGTATAAGCCAAATATAGTGACTAAGCATTAAGCAGATTATATTTTTACTATGCCTTTTATTTTAATTATATATTTCATATTTTTAATTATTTCATTAATTATTCTACCATGCATGCATCTTATTGCTTTATTTATTATTTTGATCTACCATTTATATAATGCATTTTGTGTTTCATGAGAAATATACCCAAAACATGCTTGGGACTTGACTACTTGAGAGGTAAGAATTAGGGCATCGCAAAAGCAGTCACAATTTGGGACGGATGGAGTAATTTAATGGGTTTTCATTTCCTTTCCTCATATTGTGAACATATTTATATATATGGTGTGTGTGTGTACACTAAAATACACCATAATGCTAGATCTTGAACAAAACGTGATTATCTTAGGAATATTTAGGAATTAGAATGCTAACTTAGCTGTATGAAACGCCATAGACGAAAAAATAAAAACAAATGCCCACACAGCAAGTGGCACATAGGAGATAGTGTTTTACCATACAATCTTGCATTGCTTTTACCATTCCATTAAATATAGTACATCAATTGAATTACTGAGTGACCTTTTTATTCTGAAAGCATCCACTTCAACTTGCTTTTAAATGGCCAAAAACCAGATATCACAGGAAAAGTTTTACAATCAATGGGGAGTTGCACCGCCCTTATCACCTTCTTTTCCCTTTTGCGCAGCTGCTCTTAGTTGACGCTGCTCTTCCTTGTACACCCTATTCCTACGTTGAAACTGCAATAACCAGAAATTCCTTGAGTGCAACAAAATCAACAAAAATATACAGTACAATTTAAAGAAGATAATGTTAGTCCTCAGTTACCAGAAATTCAAAAAGAACTCTTCAAAGTTCTTAAATTTAGTCCTCAAGATGTAAGAATAATGTTAAATCCTCTGCAATTCACATGCATGTCCATGCACATTTAGCAAAGTTTCTAAAAAAAAATTCCTCCAACCTATGGGGTAACTGATTGATCTTAAGTTTGATGCAAATCGGTGCACTTATGTGTTATTACGAAACTGATATCGTACTTTTTCAGCCATGCGTCTTTTGTTTAGACATGGTTGCACTTTTGTAATATACAAATGCACTATAGATACAATGAAACACTTTTTATCACCACAATTCTATCACAGATTTTCGTATTATCTAGTCACCGCATTTTGGCCTGATATATAATCATGTTTTTAAGATGCTATTGTAACTGCTCAATCCTCAACCCCTCTACGAAAAGAAAATGAAAAATTGCTAAAGGCTATTTTAAAACCATAGTACTTATATAAGCTATTTTTGTATGATATGAAGAGTTAGCCTACTAATGAAGTACAATTAGTTGTTGAAAGTTGAAACCACAAATACACTAATAACTCAGTAATAAGCAAGGATAAGAGTTTGAAAAAAAATAGAGATAATGAAAAACTTATGTGGATTGTAAAAAATACGTACAAAAGATCTTTGGAAAAGCCCGAGATTCTTCTCCAGTTAGACAAAAAAGAGATTCGGCTTTTCTAACAAAAAAAAAACACTTCTCAAATTGTACTACAGAAACAACAATAATAAAGCTAATATCATAAAAACCCATGTTTGACTAGTAAAAGCTGTCATACCACACATGATCTATATCGACCGCATAAAGCTTTATATATAATATATATTCCTTAGGGAAAACAGTCAAATAAGCCCCCCTACTATTCCAAAATAGTCAATTAAACCCCCCAACTAAAAAAACACCCAATCAAACCCACAAAATCAAAACAAAATGTCAAATTGGCTTTTTAGCAGGTGACCTCCCAGTTCCCAGTAAACTGCCCACATGTCATGTGAGGTGGCTTTTAAAAAAAATCCTCTTTCTTTTTCTTTCTCTTTCTCTTTTTTTCCCATCACCTTTTCTTTTCCTTCTCTTGGTTACTTTCTTTCACACATCAGGTCAGCAACGCAGCTGTGCAGGTGTTCATTCTTCCTCGCAACTCACAGCTCCACTTCTTGCCTCTACAGTCCACAGGCGTTGCAGACAATCTCTGGTTCTATCATGAAGACGGTGAATGGTGGAGGCGGTGAACAGCGTTGGAGATGAGCCCGCGTTTGACTTTCACTATCGCCGGAGAGGAGTGCTCCCACACTCCCCCAGGGTTGCTTGTTGGACGGTCTCTGGCACAGATCTGATCCGCCGATGCATCTTAACACCTGCTGCTCATCGGTGGTCTTCATCAATGGGAAAAGAGAAAGAGATAAAGAAAGAAAGAAACCGCAGCCGGAAATGAGGTGGTTCCGATGTGCATTGGACGGCAGGGGCACGGATTTGGTCACCAACTTGCTGCTGCCATCTTCATAGCCGCTAGTTATCACCTGGGGGTCTTCTTCAATGGCGAAAGACAGACAAAGACAGGGAAAAAAGAAAAGTAGGTGGGAAACAGAAAAAAAAAAAAAGGAAAATTAAATTTAAAAGCCACATATTAGAGTTCACTGGGTAACTCGAAGCTTACAGGCTAAAAGGCTAATTTGAGATATATATTTTTTGAGTTTGTGGGTTTAATTGGGTGTTTTTTTAGTTGAGGGGTTTAATTGACTTTTTTGGGGTAGTAGGGGGGCTTATTTGACAGTTTTCCCTATTCCTTACGATGATAAACAGAGCATATAAGCCAACTGGACAGAGAAAATATAGAGAAATACCTAAGAACCTGAACATAATAGTATACATGTGCATTCTACAACCTTAATGATATTTGAAAAGGTTTAAATAGTTGAATAGGAATATCCAACTATTATGTCAAACAGTGTCATTTCCAAGAAAAATCCATAATTCATACATCTGCTTAAAAACAGATAATGCTGGTTTTGTGGTTAACTGGTTATCATGTGTATGACTAAAAAATTGGCAAAACAATATTACTGTGGCACAAACAGATTCCCAACTTCTTGGAGGCACCCTAGAGTTATCTCTGGCAATAACAACACGATTACTATTGGAAAAACCATGTTCCCAACTTCTTGGTAGTTGTAGCGCCCTACATTTTCATCTTAGTAATCTTACAAAAAACATTACTATGAGTTTATGTTAATACTCATATTAGCCACAGAAAGCAGAATTGATTTGGACTTCATATTTGAAACAACAAAGAGTACCAAATTACCATTTTTCCCTAGCATAGAAGCAGTGGAGAATGGCATAATCTACGAGAAAAATGGTGTAGCCATTGACTTATCAGCTAAGAATATCACTGCCCTAAAAATAGAAGAAAACAGGTTGCATATCACTAAAATAGAATTGATATCTTCTCAGTCTTCTTTTAAGGGTGAATTAGTCTGATTTAGAAAGAAAAAACAATGAATTAGTCCTTTTCAGGAAATATTGAAAAACATGTGGACTTGTTTGAGGAAATGTGTATGTATAGTCCTCCTGTTTATGGAACCTTCCCTAAATATTATGTGGAAACCCTACATCACAGGACATAATTCGTCCAGCAGGTAGAAGATGGAGTCTCCAGAAGTTAAAGTGAGCTATAAATATTAAATTAGCAATTATCCGTACTAATTTATCCACAAGTTATTTCATGTCCATATTTAGGAAAAAACATTCAAAAAAATATGAAAATGAATTCAGCGGTGAAGGATCATAACCCAAGGCCCCTTTTCAGATCCTGTAGTGCTGGTAGCTAAGTAGCTAACCTTATTAACAAACACAATTACTTTGTAAAGGATAAAAAAAATCGAAGGTTCAATAAGGATACGATAGAAACGAAATAGAGCGTAAAATTAAGAGCAGGAATAAATTGAATTCAAGCAGAAGACCTCTTTGGAATGATGGAGACACTCGAGATAGTCTTCTCGGAGAAGAGTGCAGTCCTTAGGCTCCCGGCAAGTGGACATACATTCACTGAAATCCATCCAGAAATCATAGCAGCGGCCCTTGTTCCCCGAGATTCCCCAACCAGACGCCATTGAATCAGTGATTTGATCCCAGATGAAGAAATTTGATCCCAGTGAATCAGTGATGGCGTCCAAGTAGAGAGACCAACTGATGATGGATTGATGGTCCTAATGAAATTTAATGGGCCGGGCTTTTAGAACCTCCTAAAGCCCAAATTTTATGGAACTCGGTTGGCCCTTACCAATGGGAGTATTTCCTTAAAATATTTAGGGCTAAATAGCTATATAGCATTTATAAACAAGAGAAGTTCAATTAATAGCCTATCTTTTGATAATTTAAATACATAGCATATTTGACTGGATAAACTAATAAGCACCGGAGTATTTTGTTAAGAACATTAAATGCGTATCACATTTTTAGGAGATTTTCTTCCTTTCATTTTAATCTAAGAGGCTATATGTTTTATTTATATAAATACATGACATTAATTCACTACACCTATTTAAACTTGTATATACACCCAATTAAATGGATCCATGTTTCGAGTTTGTATGAAGTTTGACTTTAAGGCTCTGTTTGCAATCACTTAATTTAAGTGCTTGTGGTTTTTTTTTAAGAAAAAAGCATTTACTTTATCAAACACTACCAATTTTTACTTTCTCGACTTTCGGGTGGAATCTACTTTATACTTTTTCTATTACACAAAAAGCACTTATTTTACCAAACACTGTCAACTTTTATTACTAATCATTTTTTCCCAAAAAGTGCTTTTATTTAAACACAAGCACTTGCAAACAAATAAGAGTTTAAGTCAGTAAAAAATACATGTATATTGTTCCTCTTGTTTGTAATGTTTTATGAAACACCACAGTAAAATGGAACATTATCTTTAGGAGGAACAATATACATGTATTTTGTCAGTAAAAAATACATGTATATTGTTCCTCTCGTTTGTAATGTTTTATAAAACACCACAGTAAAATGGAACATTATCTTTAGGAGGATCGAGTATTTTTCTAACATTGTTTTTTTTTTTGGAAAAGGGTGAAATAAAGCTTTCTACTATTATAAAATCGTCACATAAGGTTATGTGGTCATTAAAGTGTCACATAAATAAGTTTACTTATAAAAACAATTGAATGAAGCTCTGTTTGCAACCACTTGTGCTTAAATAAAAGCACTTTTTGGGAAAAAGTGATTAGTAGTAAAAGTTGGTAGTGTCTGATAAAACAAATGCTTTTTGTGTAATAGAAAAAGTAAAAAGTAGATTCTACACGAAAACCGAGGAAGTAAAAGTTGATAGTGTTTGGGAAAATAAGTGTTTTTTTCTTAAAAAAAAACCAAAATCACTTTTTTTAATTGATTGCAAACAAACCCTGAGTCAAATGACCTTTTGACAACCTCGTAATCTCGATTTTAGCGTACGTCTGACTATCTTTTTAAAATAAATTATATGATTAACGTGAAATATTTAGTTATAATTGACTTAAATACAAGATAAAATTAATGACATGTTAGCTAAAGTCGTGATTAAGATGTTGTCAATGGATCATCAGGACTCATCAGATTACTTTTTATAAGTAGATATATTAATATAACATTTTGTGAGTACATAATTTTATGTGATGATTCTGTAATTGTAGAAAGTCTTATTTGACCCTTTTCTCCTTTTTTTTTAAATAACATTGTAATTATTAGTTACGAAGCTTTATCACTTGAAAGTTGAAACATTTTCAGTGTGAAACTTCTCCGAAACTTCTAAGATTAAACCTTACACTATTTCGAAACATCAGAGGAATTTTAGTACTCCCTCCGTCCCAGAATTAACTTCGGTTTTGACTGGGCACGGAGATTAAGAAAGTGGGAAATGTGTGGTGGAGAGTCGTGCAGAGGAGAGAGAAATGCGTAAGAATGGTTGTGAACCACAAATCCTTTGCTAAAAAGGGAAAGAGGAGATAAATTTGGGACGAACCAAAAAGGAAAGAATGAAGATAATTATGGGACGGAGGGAGTATTTGAATTAACATTATTATTTATTAATGTTAAAATTAGTAAAATTTGAAATATTTAAGACTAAGATTAAAATAAAGGGTCCACATTCCACCTATTAATGTACTAGGAGCAAGCACTGACCAGATCCAGACATATTGTTTCCTACTTCCTAGCCTCCTAGGGACCGTTCTGATAAATAAATTGAAAAGAAAACGAAGTTAAAATCCTGTTTTAGAAGAACCAGAACCGTTTTGGACCAGTTTTTTGGGTATCAGTTGCACTTCAGAGTTCAGATCTGAAAGCATGCCTGTTTTAAGGAGTTCTATTTTGTTCACCCCTTCGTGGAGGGTGAACATCACCCCCTCCCTCCAACACATGACACTTGGCAAGACTTTTAAATTTTGCAAGTGTAATGCCAAGTGTCATGTATTGGAGGGAGAGGGTGATGTTCACCCTCCATGAAGGGAGTGAACAAAATAGAACTCTGTTTTAAGTCCTACATTTCCACCCAATTCAGGCTAGGGTCAACCATGTTCCGGCTTCGAAGAAAAGTCATGCAAATTTTCATTCTTGTGGTTTAACAAATTTAGGACACAAAAATTGACATAATTTGAACTAAGAACATAGTTGAGCTACAGAAACTAATCAAAACATTTGAAGGCATTGATGCTGATTTGCAAACAAGCTATTCTCAATCTTCCTCAATTTCTTGTTCGTCCTCTTCCTCTTCATCTACTTCTTCCTCTTCCTCATCTCCACTTTCTTGTTTGGGTTCAGCTTTGCTTCCATCTTGCTTCTCAGCAGCACTATTTCCTGAACGTTTGAACATACGATACTAATGAATATACAGGGCTGCATTTACTTCCTCAAAAAAAAGGAAAATTGTTTATAAGCCGGCATTTGCACGTACATTCCAACAGCTGTAGGTTCTTAAGACTTGGACTTCACTTACTACCTCTGTCCATATAAAGTCTTCTTTGACCAACATACAACTTTAAATTTTGGTAAGGTATTCATTATCATAAATCATGAATACTTGATACTTCTAAGATTTATTTGGTGTAACTTGACTCCTTTTTCCAATTGTTGGCAATTTACAAGTAGAAAGAACTTTGTAATATCTTCTGCCAAGAGAATTCTTTTTTATTAATTTGGAGGGGAGAAGCATTACCAAATTCATTAAATATGACACCACCAGAACATAGTCCTTCCTCGATCTTGACTAATTGGAGAGTCATCCTGGGTCCAATTTCTTGAAGTTTGACAGCACTTTTTGTAGAGGCTCTGTTTAATCTACCAAGATCGGTTGGTAAATTTACCATAGCTGCCTCATCATCGGCTTCACTTTCTGATCCATAACCAGCCCTTATATACAAAAGCACAATGCCGGGAAAAGAGTCAACCAATCAATATTTAATTGAATAGGTTAACAAGGTGTTACTAATTAGAAAGAAATGTTTTGGGTTTTGGCAACCAAATTAATGAAAAACCCCATTGTTCATGCCACGGGAAGAAGGGAAAAAGCTATATATGTCTTTTGACCTTCCACCACCTTTTATTTTAACCTTATGGTGGAGATTGGTTCCTACAAAGGATGATCAGTTTTCGGCCATTAGGTAGTGAACATTATGAATCTCTGGTTAAAGTAGCATGAGTGATTACATGTATAACTTAAAATGAAAGGGAATTAAGAGAACTGGATGACCGAGTGGAAAAAACCACTAACATTCATCAGACCTTGCCAACTTTTAAGAGAAAGACCATACATGGTAAAGCAACTATGGTCAAAAGAAAAAGTGTTATTAACTCACGAAATAATGAGAGAACTGCTTGAACTCAGCAAAACAAAAGAATCATAGAGTATATATTGGACTTGATCACTTTAAAGAAAGGGAATATCCCTGTCACCCTCCAATTTGAGGTGCCTGAAGGAGTTTTTAAAAGAAATGGGTTGAAAAAAGTTCAAAAAATTTGAGCAGGCATACTTGGTAACGAAGTCGCTCATATCTTGAAGATTGCTTAGATTGGGTACTTGATGGCTTTGCACAAATTTTCTTATCCTACGTGAAACACCAACCGGCTGCAGTCTGATTGAGTAATGCCTAAAGTCAATAAGTTTCTTCTCCTTGTCATAATTAAGAAGCACAATCCTTTGGCAAGAAGAAAGCTTGACCTACAACATCGTTAATGATTACTTAGGAGGAAATAAAGATTGTGCAATACATGATTAACTATAATTCTGGAGAAATGAAAGCTCAGATATGTGTGTGTGAAGAGTTTCACCCACAGTGTTAATATCAATGGCTGGGAAGATATTCTGAAACATTATAGTTGTGAGCTTCAGATGTTGTTCTCCGGTCCCAAAACCAGAGAGCACAATCTGCAACATTTAATTCAAAGAGCATAGCACTTAGAGCAGATAATATTAATTAATGATAACAAAACAATAAAAATAACAATGACAACATTAAGTGTAAAGAGACATTCTTAAGTGACATTCTAATGTGTCACACATACATTATATGATGGGAGGTTAGCCATTTGATCACAACCCAATATATGTATACTGCAACGCAGAATAAGAATGCCTCTTAATTATGTCTCTTGTTCATGTCTCTCTAGAATTACTTGAATAATAATGATAAATCATAAATGTATCTAGAGCATCAGTGTTTCTAATCTAATATACTCCCCATGTCCCAAAGAGTGATGTTTCATCAAGATACAACTTTTTAAATTTTGTTGAGGTGAACTCCTGTAAACCATCATCTCATTTATAGTTTGAAATTTGTTTATTTTTAAACTTCTTTTACTCGCTGGTTTACTTTTAAACCACTGTAAATCATCAATCTCATAAAAAAATTAATTGCCTTGTCCCATTTTGTAAGATATGCTTTCTTTTTCATCTGTCAAAAAAATACTCGTAAGAAAACTTCCTACCTTGATATCGACTTTTAAGTTTCCCAATTAATATTCCTAATTCCTATCAATCATTTCACATTTTACTTTGGACTGGTACTACTTTTCCTCTTATTTCGAGGATTAGAATTGTAAAACAACAACTATCTCCTTTATTTTCTAAAAAACATGTATGAAACCCAATTGTATCTTACATTTTGGGAAGGCGTGAGTAACTTTTTGTTTGTCTAAGGAAGTATTGTAAACCCATGGAACAAATTGCCCATCAGCAACATAAATAGTTATAGTATGCTTTAAGACAGTACGTGGAGTTGAAAGAGATTACCAAGGGAGGGTTTTTAAAGAGATCCGGAGGACACCTTGGGCGCAATTGAGATTTGGCAACATCAGCAGCCAATGAATACTCGAGTATTTTAAATGTAAGAGTTGGTCCCTGTGGAGACCTAGCAACACGTAAGTAAGGAGAAGTTTTGGTTTTTGACAACATGAGAAAATGTGTAACGCCCATAGGTCCTGCAACATTTAGGAAATCTTTGAGATTATTACGCCTCTTTTCCTGCAACACAAAAGCATAGAAGTGCAAACTTGTCAAAAAATAATACATGTAAAACCCATAATCAATTCTTAGATGAATTTCCGTTAGTGATAATACATTTTTCTCAATAATAAGTAGTTATTTAACAACTCAATACAGTAAGATTTACAAATATAAATGACTCCCTCCCAACAAAGACTGCTTATTGTGATTATTCAGCTTATTCTACTGATGAGCAAAATCAGCTCATTAAAGCTATAAACGGGTCTTAGTGTTACTTTTATGACCTAATAAATAATGAGTATGCTTAGCAGTTCACAATTTGCGACATTTATCAGAAAATCTACACTTACTGGTTCGTACCAGATCAATTGACTCTTGTCTTTTAACAACGTCTCCACTTTTTATGTCTTCTCCACTTTGTAATCTTTTTCATACATTTTGCATAAATTATACATAAGAGGCTAGAAGGACAGGTTTACCCTAATCTTGGAATCTTTTCTCACACCTTTTGCACATTAAGATTCAATATAAATTGTAAATGAAAGGCTAGAATGAAAGGCTTACCCTAAGCTTGAGAGCTGTATAGGGAAGCATCAATTTTCTCAAGTCCATTTGCAGCTGTCTAAGAGAAGCCGGTAACTTCCCCCTCGAAAAAACAAAGCTCTTGGGAATCTTTTCTCCTGTTATATGATCAACATTATGTTGCTTCTTCTGAATGGTCGGCTTCACAGACAACTTCCTTTTTCTCTGAGATTTCAATTACTCAAATATGTTATTACAGAATTAACCCTTTCTTATTCTAGGTTTACCAGCAAGTACAAAATGAAGCTGAATAAAAACAACTTCAACAACTTACATTTTGAAATGGAGCCATCTCTTCCCCAATAGGCAAAACTAATCCAAACCCTAGCAACACATTGAAACAGAAACGAATAAATAGCAACGCAAGCTTGTTTTTTTCAAAATCAAAACAGAAAAACTTACAAATTACAGAACATACCTGGTCACCTAGAGGCTGGAGCTCAGGAGCTACAGGCAGAGCGGAGAGCCGGAGAGAAAGGAAGGTCGAGTTGGAGACGGCGTCCGGCGCCGCGGATGGTGGCTGCTGGTCGGCTGGTGTTCGCAGTTCACAGCGTCTTCAGTCTTCGTCGTTTCGTCGCAGGCTGCCAGGCTCCTCTTCGACCTCCGTTCTTCAATCTTCGCATAAGGACTTCAGGAGGCCGCAGGTGAGTGGAATAGCTGAACACTTGGATTAGGCTTTGGCTGGGTTGGGAATTAATTTTGGGCCGATAATCAAATCTATATCTATATTAGTTAATAAATAAATAAATCAATAAATAAATAAATAAATAAATTGGGCTGGGCTTGATGCCACTCCTGCCCTTGCAATGATCTTCCTCTGGTTCCAAACACTGATGAGAGCATCTTCAATGCTAAAATATGCACGGTGCACATGTGGCATAAGAGATAGCCACATAAATATTATTAAATTAATTATTTCTCTCCTTATTTGAATGATTTTATACAGTTTTGGTAAGATTTTATCCACAATGTCAAGGAGACCGTCTAAATGTTGACATTGCAGTTGACATTGCAGGGCTAAACATACCAAAATTGTATAAAGTCATTCAAATAAGGAGAGAAATAATTTATTTGCTAATATTTATGTGGTTGTCTCTCATGCCACATAAGCACCGTGCACATTCTACCATTGGAGATGCTCTGAGATGAATCCAAGGTAAACACAACATATTACGATTATTACCATCATTATCATATTAAATATTATTCCCTTTATAGTTTTAGTTTTTAATAAGGATATTTCCTACCTTTTAGATAGGAGATATTTTTGGCAGTTGAGTTCTATATATTGGATCTTTTGTATCCTTCTACAGGCAAGTGGAATAATAATAATAATAATATTGAATTAGCTAGTTTCTTTAATCTTTACAAAGACAAGTTTATCATGGTATCAAAGCTTTTCAAAGCATAATACATGACATTCCAGACGGAGGAGGAATTGTGACGACAGCTGCAACTATGAACAATCTGGATTGCACTTCACCGATTTTCCTGGGACCACAAGGTCGTCTGCGAGCTGAAAACAGAGAACTTGAACAAGAGAGGAGCTATGTGCATGAAACTGGACGAAGGGGAAAACACGTGCCAAAGGCACATACAACAATTTCTTAAAATGCAAATAAACATTTGGCAGAAACCAATGAAGGCGGTGAAAATAATTTTGGACAACTTGCTCCGATACCAGGATTTTCTGTAGAACAATGGAGAGCTTTAATATCCACATTTGATAATCCACACACTTCCACTAATAGAATGATGGGTACGTTTGATCATACCTTGTGGATTGTTGATACAAGAGCTACGAATCACGTGTGTGGCAATTTAATGTTTTTGAGTGACATTAAGTCAATTGAACCTTGCTGAGTTGGATTGCCCGATGGACAAAAAGTAATGGCTACTAAGGAAGACTGCGTGTAGTTGTCGGGAAAAATAAAATTGAAAATTGTTCTTTACGTCCCTAGTTTAGATTGCAATCTTATTTCCGTCTCTCAATTAAGTGATGAGCTAGACTGTTTTGTACAATTTACTTCTGACTTATGAGTTTTACAGGACTAACACTCGAGGGAGTTGATTGGAACGAGTGAGAGGAGTACTATTTCCGAGAAGATAAAAATGCTCAAATCAAGGCAATTGATCGATGGAAAAAGAAAATCAACGTTAAAGATATGGCAAAAGTGTATGGGTCACCTGTCCGAAAAGGTGATGTAGAGATTAACACCTCTGAATAATTTGGAAGAATTAATTTGGCCTCCATGAGATGTATGTTTTTGTGCTAAACACGCAAGAGACTCTTTTTTCTATCAGTTCTAGCAAAATTAAGGATGTTTTCGAACTTGTGCATTGTGATCTTTGGGGACCTTATCACACGTCGTCATCATGTGGTGCTAAGTATTTTTTTCATCATTGTTGATGATTATTCTCGTGTCATTTGGGCATTTCTCTTAATTGACAAAAGGGAAGTTTAAAATTTTGTGTGTCATTTGTGGTTATGGTGGAACGACATTTCTCCAAAAAGGTACTTACTGTGCGGGGTGATAATAGAACGGAGTCCATATGCTTAAAGGCTTTTTTTATCACTAGTGGTATTTTATTTCAGACTTCATGTGTGGATACCCCTCAACACAATGGCACCGTAGAACGTAACCATCGGCATATACTAAATGCCGCACGGGTGTTATGTTTTGAAGCTAATTTACCTTTGACTTTTTGGGGTGAGTGCATTTTAACTACGGCTCATCTCGTGAATCGCACCCCTTTGTCTACTCTTGATTTTAAAACTCCATATGAAATTCTTTTTGGAGTTTGTCCATGTTATTCTTCCCTTCGAATTTTTGGGTGTCTATGCTCTGCCTACAATATGCGAGCCAAAGGCGATAAATTTGCGAGCCAGAGTCGGAAATGCGTATTTGTGGGATACACTTTCGGCAAAAAGGGTTGGAATGTTTTTTACCTCGAGACACATGAATTCTTTGTTTCTCGTGATGTCAAAATTGTTGAAGATATTTTTCCTTATGCTGAAAGTAACGTCATGGAAACACCTCCATTATCACAAATTTATAATTCCAATGTTGAGGTGATTGACCATGTAGATTCCTTTCTATGGACATCTAGGCATACGACACATGAGCCTGAAGAAACTCCTCCGCCTATGAATGATCCACCTATGAGTGATCCCACTCCTGGACCCTCTGCCGCAGCTGACAATGATTCTTTGCCCAGTGATTCGACGTACTTTAGACGAGGGAGTGGTTCTCGGGTACCATTTGTCCGGTTAAAAGATTATGTGACTCGCACAATTGTGAAAAGCAGTCCATATCCTTCTCACTCCGTTGCGTCATCTTCCTCGGGTACACTGTTTCCTATGTCTCACTATGTTAGTTGTGATAATTTTTCTGCAAAACATCATCTTTTTTTGCCTCAATTTCTTCAGGGATAGAACCACAATCTTTTTGCGAGGCCGTTATAGATGAAGGTTGGTGTGACGCCATGCGAGCTGAAATTGATGCTTTAGAAAGCAAATCCACATGGGACTTGGTTCCCTTAGCTTCTAGAAAACGCACTCTGGGATGCCGTTGAGTTTATAGAATTAAGCGTAAATCTGACGGAAGTATTGAAAGACTTGAAGATCGTTTGGTGATTTATTGCAATCGTCAAGTTGTTGGAATGGATTACACTGAAACTTTCGCTCCAGTTGCCAAAATGGTAGCTATGTGCGCTTTCTTGGCAGTCGCGGCCTGCAAAAATTGGGAATTGCATCAGATGGACGTTCATAATGCCTTTCTTCATGGCGACTTACACGAAAAAGTCTACATGACTATTCCTACCAGATTTCAAACCACAGATTCTTCTTTGGTGTGCCATATTAAAAAATCTCTCTATGGACATAAGCAGGACCCGCGTTGTTGATTCGTCAAGTTGGTTGGTGCTTTGAAAGGATATGAATTTCTTCAGTCTTATGCTGACTACTCTTTATTGACGCGTACATGTGGGTCAATCCAGCTCAATGTTTTAGTTTATGTTGATGATCTCATTATATCTGGCAATGATAGCGATGTTATTGCTCATTTCAAATCATGTCTGAGTTCCTGTTTTCACATGAAAGACCTGGGCACACTCAAATACTTTCTAGGTATTGAGGTGGCACGAAGTCCTATAGGGATTTTTCTCACTCACCGTAAATATGTCTTGAACATTATTTCGGAAACTGGACTTCTTGGTGCAAAACCAGTGGATTTTCCTATTGAACAAAATCACAGTCTTGCGACTGCTAATGGCCCACTTCTTGAAGATCTTGAACCATACCGACGACTGGTTGGCCGCCTTATATATCTCCTTGTTACACGACCCGACTTTGTTTACTTTGTCCATATTTTGTCACAATTTCTTCATGCTCCAAGACGTGACCATTGGGATGTTTCCCTTCGCATTGTGCACTATCTTAAAGGCTCTCCGAGTCAAGGGATTTTACTGCGTACTAATGGGGATCTCACTCTTACTGGCGGGTGCGGTTCTAACTGGTTGCTTGTCTGATCACTCGTCGTTCTTTATTTGGTTGGTTAGTCTTTCTTGGACATTCTCCAGTCTCCTGGGAAACCAAGAAACAATATAATCTACGGTGTCTCGGTCATCTGCTGAGGCCGAATACCGTTCCATGGCCGCTGCAACATGTGAGCTCAAGTGGTTAAAGGGTTTTCTTATAAGTTTAGGCATTCATCGTCCTCAAGCTATGCCCCTTCATCGTGATAGTCAGTCTGCTCTTCATATTACACGAAATCATGTCTTTCATAAACACACCAAACACATCGAAGTGGACTGTCATTTTGTACTTGATGTTGTTTAGGATACTCTTATTGCTCCTTCTTATGTCCCTACAGTGGTCCAATTAGCTAATATATTCACCAAAACATTGCGAAAACGCAATTTTAAATTCTATCTCGCAAGTTTCGCATTTTTGACCCCATGAGCCAACTTGAGGGGGATATTACAATTATTACTATCTTTGTCATATTAACTAGGGAAAACTGTCAAATAGGTCCTCGAACTTTCATAAAAAGGTCAAATAAGTCCTTACATAGGAGGCTATGTCCGACCGTCGCGATTTGGAGCGGTTCTCGGTGGAATTTTTGATGAAAATTTTTTAGCATCTTATTCACATGATTACTTTTCCTTCCTTCTTCTCTTCTTTTGACTTCAATCATGAAAAAAGTTTTGTTTAATCAGTATTTTCAGTTCTATCTATACGTTTATTTCCTAGCGTTGTCTAGAGATATTATTTTCTGTGGCGAAGTGTCGCTCACCAGATCTATATTCCCCGCCATCACCGGTCGGGTGTTCTTGTGTGCTATTAAGAGGTTTGTATTGGCTTCTTTATCAATCATGAATTAGGATTTCTTCTGCATCGATATAGAGTAGTCCTGTGATCGGTTCAGTTCTTGTTAAAATTTGATGGAACCGTATTAAAAATTATAGACGCTAAATTCGGTTCGGTTCTAGTTAAAAATGTTGTTGTTAAATTCGGTTCGGTTCTTGCATTTTTTCGGTTCCTAATAAAAATTTATTAATCTCCTAAAATGAACACATTTTACCTTCAATTACATAAAAAAAATTCAAACTTCAAATGATGAAATTATGACCATAACATTATACGTACATGATATTCCAATGTTCAAATATCACAAAAATATCCAA